ACATTTAGCCTATGATCTTTGGATACAGAATCCAGAAGTCCCAAGTCATTGATTTCTAAAAAAAAATGAATAGGTACTTTGGAAACATTTGATATTTTTGTTGTTGCAAACTCAAAAAGCCCCAGAATCCTTTGTTATCTCTATTATTAATCAATAAGAATCATAGAATTTGAGAGTTGGAACTGACCTCAGCATCTCTTTGGGTCAACCCATAGACCACAGGCACCCCCACTAATAATCATGCAGCTTCTGTTTAATGACATCTAAGTTGGTATAATCAACCATCTCTTAAGACAGTCGCTCAACAAGTTTTAGTAAGTGCCTACTACATGTCAAATAGAGTATTATATGCTCAGGATATAAAAACAAAACAACAAAATGGTCCCTTCTTATAATTGGGCTTACATTCTCTAAGCAAAGTGGGGTGACACATACTCATATAATCACATGCAAAATATGTACAAAATAAATACAAGGTAATTTTTAGAAGAAGGCACTAACTGCTGAAGGGATAACAAAAAGAGACAAGTTGAGAATCTAAGCCAGGAAATGCTTTTGTCTTACCAGGTACTAATTCCATCTCTTAATCAAAATATGATTAACAAAAAGAAAGTGGGGCATAAAACTGCCATAAAGATTTAAATTTTTTCACTCTTCTCCATAGCTCATGTTGTAAATGTGACCATAATGACATTCACTGTAGTAAGAAAATTGGGATGTTTCAACAGTATGTATAGAGTAATTCCTGCCAATTATGATGACTACTCTAAATCCATATGCTCACTCTGTAAAGGCCTTGTAATATCTAGGTACTCTAATTCCATTCCTATTTCCTTTTTTTTTAAAAAAAGTACCCAATACCTGAGGAAGAGCAAAATGTAATTTAAAATAGTTATTAGGTTAATCACATTGGGTCTTGTATTTATCGAATACAGGCAATGGTTCAGTAGCAATGGCAAAGAGAAGCATTGCATTCAGCCAAGAAAATGAATCAAATCTTTAATGGAGATGTAGAAAGGGAAATTTTCTTATAATTTATAAAAGTATAAACCAATGATAAACTAAATTATAATAATAATCATAAAAAAGAGCAGATGTGTTTTCTTTTACCCTAGGAGGATTTGATTATGTGAAGTCTTTGGAATGGGACTAAAATTTTTCTTAAGAATACTTAAATGAGTCACAGTCTTCTTTATTGTTGGTTTGACTTTTTAATTTTACTTTATTTTTACTTTATTTTTCTTATCTCTCCCTCACCAAAATTTGACTGCTAAAAAAAAAATCCACAAAACAAATATGCATAATCCAGGAAAACAAGTATCTACACTAACTATGCTTTAAAAAAAAAAAAGTATGTTTCTGGGGCAGCTAAGTGGTGCAGTGGACAGAGCATCAGCCCTGGATTCAGGCCTCAGACACATAACTCTTACTGGGCAAGTCACTTAACACCATTGCCGAGCCAAAAAAAAAAGTTTGAGTTCCAAATTCTCTTTCCCTCCACCCTTATTGAGAAGGCAAATGATTCGATATAGGATATACATGTGCTAGTCATGCAAAACAGATTTCCACATTAGTTATTTTTGTATTGTTATTGATAGCTTGGATTTTTTTTCATCTCCCTTGACCATTTATCTACTAGAGAATGGTTTTAACTTTATAAATTTGAATCAGATCTTGATATGTCTTGGATATGAAATATTTCGCAAAAGAAAATTACTTTAAATATTTTTCTTATAGTTTTCTCCCCTCTAAGTCCTACTGCATTGGACTTATTGGTGCAAAGTATTTTTAATGTTACATAATCAAAATTGTCCATTTAATGTTTTGTGATTCTCTCTATTTCCCATTTATTTATGAAATCTTCCCCCTGTCCATGAATCTGAAAGGTAATTTCCTCCTTGCTCCTATAATTTGTTTATTATGTCACCTTTTATGTCTAAGTTAAGTATACATTTGGAGTTTATCTCAGCACATAGTGTGAGTTGATGGTCTATATACTCAATTTCTGCCAAACTGCTTTCCAGTTTTTCAGGACTTTTTGTCAGATACTGAGTCCTTTGCCCAGTAACTGAGGTCATTGAGTTTGTCAGACATTATGTTACTATGTTTGCTTCTGTATGTTGTACACCTAATATTGATAAATTGTCTTATTTTCACCTTTTTCATTATTACTCTTTTGATTATTGATGTTAGCAATAAAAGTTCCAACAAGCCACTGGTGAACCAGAAAAAAAAAAAAACTTTTACTAACAGCCTAGCAAGGCCAGGTGTCCCATATGTGGCCACATCTTAACAAAAGGGAGAGCAAAACTTTTTATTCCTAGACCCCAGTTGCAGTTCCCTCCCCTGTTTCCCTGTTGGGGGACGCGGATAATGCAGGGTTTACAGCCTATCGGAGTGCTTGATTTCCCCACTTGAGTCTCTGCCCCTAATTACATCTCCCATTCCCCACATTTCTTTGTCAATAGCCTGCAGCTGGCAATACAATAACCCTTTAGTTGTTTGGTACAGACAGCATTAAATAGATAAATTAATTTGGATATTTGTCATTTTAATTATATTGATTCAATCCACTCATGAGCAATGAATATTTCTCCAATTGTTTAGGCCTGTCATTATTTATATAAAAAGTGTTTTGCAGTTGAATTCATGTAGTTTCTGAGTATGGTTTGGTAGGTACCAAAGAATTTATAGTTTTTATAGTTACTTGGAATTGAATTTTCTCTTCCCAAGCTCTTCCTGTTCGGTTTGATTTAACATAAGGAATGCTGATGACTTTTGTGATTTATTTTATATTCTGTAACTTTACTGAATTTATTATTTCAATTAATTTTAATTGAATCTGCCAAAGGGTTTCAACCTAAACCTTCTACCTAGGAGACACACTTAGTGTTTGTTTTTGTTTTGTATTTTTTTTGAAAGGCTCCTTACCTGAGGAAATCAAAACAGAAATCCCTAATATTCTATATAATGCTAATTCTGTCTTTTAATAAATATTCAATTAATAGTGTGGAAGATGGAATATAGTTTAAAAAAAAACCTCTGTACATTTAAGAAATCCTTTCCCTAAACATAATTTTGTGCTTTTCACTTACAGTTTCTAAATATTTTACCTTCAAGAGAAAGACCCTCTTCCTATTTGGTTTAAGGAACTACAGAAATCTAGAGTGATTGAAAGAATACTGAGGATTAGAAACCAGATTCAAACAATACATTGTTTACAAGAGACACACTTGAAACAGAAAGACACACATAGAGTTCAAATAAAAGGTTGGAACAGAATCAAATATACTTCAACTGAAGTAAAAAAAGGAAGGGATAACAATCATGATCTCAGCAAAGCAAGAACAAAAATAGACACTAATTAAAAGAGATAATCAGGGAAACTACGTTATACTAAAAGGCACCTCAGACAATGAAGTAATATTTTTAAAAATTATAGCAAGTTTCTATGATAAAGTCCTCATTTCTTGAATGTATACTTAAGTATAGAACTGAGACAAATTTATAAAAATAAGAGCCATTCCACAACTGATAAATGGTCAAAGAGTATAAATAAGCAGTTTTCAGAAGAAATCCAAGCTATCTATAGTCATATAAAAATGTTCTAAATCACTAATGATAGTTGTTGTTCAATTGTTTCAGTCTAGTCTGATTCCGTGTGACCACATTTGGGGTTTCCTTCAAAAAGATACTGTAGTGTTTTGTTATTTCCTTTTGCAACTCATTTTACATAAGAGGAAAGGAAGGCAAGCAGTCTCAAATACCTTGCTCAGGGTCACACAGCTGGTGAGTATCTGCCACTGTATTTGACCTCTGGAGGATGAGTCTTCCTGACTTCAGGCCCATCACTCTGTCCATTACACCAGCTAACAAACTTCACTATGGATTAGAGAAACACAAATTAAAATAACTCTGAGGTACTACCTTGTACCTATTAAAAATGACAAATGCTGCAGGGAATAAAAGAAAAATAGTTATAATAATGAACTGCTGGTGTAGTATTGAACTGGTCTAACCATTCTGTAGAACAATTTGGAATTATCCACAAAGGGCTATAAAACTGTACATACCCTCTGACCCAGTAATAGCACTACTAGATCTGTATCCCAAATAAATCAAAGAAAACTGAAAAAGACCTTTATGTACAAAAATATTTATAGCAGCTCTTTTTTCGGTGGCAAAGAATTGGAAATCAAGGGGATGATCATCAATTAGGGTATGGCTGAATAATTTGTGACATAATTGTGATGCTACAAAACCAAAATATCTTGTGAATTTACTCAAATATGTCTAAAGTTAGTCACATGCTTGTCTACAGCTACCAAAAGAAAAAACTGACTCAATTTTTACCAAATTGGATAGTCTTCCCCCCCCCGTGTGTGTGTGTGTGTGTGTGTGTGTGTGTGTGTGTGTGTGTGTTCCATATAGTGATTCCTTCATGTCTAATGGGTAAATAACCAACACATGAAGGAGCAATTCTTTGGGGAATTTCTAGGTCTTTGAGTAAGGGCAATGGTGTTTTAACTTACAGTTATGATTTTTCTTACGAGTACTAGATTACATTTTTTAAATGACATACTGAATGTTCTCATGTTTAAAAAAAAACAATTTTAAGGCTATATTTTTCCTTAACAAAGTTAGAATATAACACATATCATATAAATTAGTTTAACATCATAGATTTAAGCTTGGAATCAAATATAGTCTGGAAATGAAATTTTGGCACAGACAGAAGCATGAAGAGGTTCATAAATCAATGGAATGAAATTCTATAAAGCAAAGCACAGCACAGTCCACTTGAAAAAGAAAAACAAGCTTTATAAATATAAGTTGGGGAATGACGAGAGAAATTAAGAAACAATAAAAGGAGATCCAGGATTCACAGTGAACTGGACCATGCCACCATTAAAATTCTATGATCTTACATGTAACCAGTAGAGGTCATTGGGTAGGGAAGAATTGGTTGATCTCTATGCCTTTCTACTCCCTCTTCCCAGGCCACACCTATTTGTACCTCTTCTCTTTGATCTCTTATCTCTTCTGGTTGAAGAACAAGTCTGAAGCACCATGGACTAAACTTTGAAGTACCTCAGCTACAGATGGATCAATGTTTTCATGGAACAAAACTGCAGAATGGGTAGCCATATAAAAGGAGAGAAAGGAAGACGATTGAGAAAAATGTGTGATGTGGCCTCATAATGTCAATGGTGAGCAATGAAGTGAAAATTATTCTTGTAATCTCTCAAGAGACCCTACAGGAGTACAGGTGAGGTGACAAAGGGGAGGATTGAAACAGAGGGCAAGAAAGAAGGGAATCTCAATTGAGTATTGGAGCATTAAGGAATGCTCTCAGGAGTGGGAAAGACATTCTATAATGGGAGATGGGAAACCTTACAATGGTTCTAATCTGCAAAGATTTGGTGCTTAGAAAGACCACTACCTCTAAGAGAAAGTTATGGATAGCATCATGTCTCAATGGGAAGGGTTCATGGGGGGGCAACTGACATCCAGAAGACTGGGACCCAGAAAGGAAATTTCAAGTTAAATGGGACAAAATGAACATGGGGAAGTTGGAAGGGGCGGTATTAATTACCTACACAATCAGGAATACAGGACATTTTCTACCATGAGGCAATTTACTTCTATCCTTTATATCTCCTTCAAGAATTGATATCTCTAAGAGTAAAGTACAACAAAGGGGAGGAGGGGCAAGGAGAAGATCTAAAAATCAATAACACGGAACTTGTTCAGAAGAAATAACTCAAAATAAGTATATTAGAAGCTTTATTTCCGTGTGGTAAAGAGAAACCAAAGAACATTAAGTTCCATGAATCAAAAAAAGATGTCAATAAGAGATAGAAAGGGAGGAGAAATAATTAAAAGAACAAGGAAGGAAATACTTTTTCAAAAAAGACACAGAATATGGGCGTGGGAGACTAAAAACAGTGAAGGAGAAGAGAGAGATTTTACTTGAATATTTAAATGACAGAAAAAGGAAGATGATAATTAGATAAAAGGAAGAAAAAAGGAATTAATAAGGGAAGCAAAACTAGAGGAAGAGAGGTGACTTGAAGATGAAGAGCATTTAAAGCCCTTCATAACCCGGCCCTTTCTTCTTTTCTGGTCTTATTATACTTTGCTCCCCTGAATGTCCTCTGGGATTCAGTGGTGCTGGCCTCTTTGCTTTTCTTCATACAAAACACTCCATCTCTCATTTCCATACTTTTTTTACCGGCTGTCCCTCCTACCTTATCATCTCAATCTGCTAGCTTTCCTGACTTTCTTCAAGTCCAAGGTAAAGTCCCATCTTCTGTAAAAAGCTTCACGTAATCCATCTTCAAGCTAGTGCTGCTGTTGCATATCCCCCTGTATCCTGTATGTATTTTATTTATGTATAGGTGTTTGCATGTTGTTCCCCCCACCTTTTCATGCCCCATTAAACTTGAGATCAGTAACTTTGGGGTTGGGTTTTCTTTGTTTGGGGGTTGGGTTTTTAGGGGTTTTTTAAATATTTTTTTTGGTTTTTGGGGGGGTTTGGGGTGTTTTTTCTGGTTTTTTTTCCCTTCTTTGAATCTCTAGCATGTAAAATAATGCCTGACATATAGCAAGTACACAAGAAACATCTATTGACTTGAATTGAGGGAAAGAGAGCCCATAGAAATAGGGTTGCTTGAAGGTAGATAAAGTAAAAATAACTGAAGGAAATTACTGTCTTTATAAAAGGGGGGGGGGGAGCTAGGTGGCGCAGTTGATAGAGCTCCAGCTTTGGAGTCAGGAGCACCTGAGTTCAAATCTGGTCTCAGATCAGACACTTGACACTTACTGTGTGACCCTGGGCAAGTCACTTAACCCTGATTGCCTCACAAAAATAAAAAAAAAATTTAAAAAAAGAAAGGGAGGGGAACAAAAGAAAATCCTAGTTAAAAAATTTTTGAGATGAATAGTGGAAAATACAAGCCTAACTCATAACTTTCTATATGGATAGATTAAACAACCCAATAAAAAGAAAACAGTGACAGACTGGATAAGGAAACAAAACCCCACAATCTTTTGTTTTATTAAAAAAAATAAACCTAAGAAGTAATGACACAGAACCAAACTAAGGGCATGGAATAAAATTTACTATGTATTCAATGAATCCAAAAAATCAGAAGTTTCAATCATGCTATCAAAGCAAAAACAAGAATCTACAACATAAAAAGAATAAACGAAGAAATTATATTATGTTGAAAGGGACCAAAGACAATGTACTAACATCCATATTAAACTTATATGCCCCAAATGTCTTAGTATTTAAATCCGTAAAGGGGGAAAAAACCCTGAATTACAAGAAGACATAGTAGAACAATAATAACAGAAAACTTGGGGAAGCTAGGTGGTGCAATGGATAGAGTACAGGACCTGAGTTCAAATCTGGCCTCAGACACTTGATGCTTACCAGCTGTGTGACCCCGGGCAAGTCACTTAATCCCATTGCCCAGCAAAAAAATAAAAACAGAAAACTTCATTGTCACTCAGTTTTAGACAAATCTAACAGAAAGATAAAGAAAAATACAAATTGACCTATTTTCTAGAGAAACTAGAATTATGGTATTTTCTTAGTGGGACTGCCAAAAACATATATTTATTAGTCAGTACCAAATGAAACTTTTATAAAAATTGACCATTAGTGTACCCAGATCATGCAAATAAATATTAAAAAGCAGAAATAGTAAACATCTTTTACAAATGACAATTCAATAAAAAAGAGAAATCAGTTCAGGAAACACACAAAAAGAGGATGGAAAAAATAGACAACAATGAAATTTTTTTAAAAAATGAAATCCTAAATAATGAGTGGGTCAAAGAATAAATCATAGAAACAAATAAATTATATGAAAGAAAATTGTAATGATGGAAGAAGATGCAAAAATTTTTGGGTTTCAATTGAAGCAGTCCTCAGGAAGAAAATTATGTCTTAAAACATACATTAACTAAATGGAAAAAGTGAAGATTAACAAACTGAATATGCATTTATTAAAATTAGAAACCTAACAAATAAGCAAACCCCAAAGAACAGATATTAGAGATGAGAGGAAAAATAAACTGAAAACAAAAAATATAGAGAAATATAATTTTTTTAAAAGGCTAATTCTTAGAAAGTAATAACAAAATTGATTTTTTTTCAAAAGATTAAAATGAAGGGAACAAAATCAAATCAATGAAATAGCAAATAATCAAGGTGAAATCACAACAAAACTAGAAGGAAATTTTCAAAATTTCAGAACCTACTAGGCATAGTCTTACACTAAACTTGTGAATATGAAAGGAATAGAAATATATGCTTAAAAATGCAAAATACCCAAGCTCAATGGAAGGCCAAACAGAAATCTTAAATAATCTTATCTCATAAAAGTAAATAGAAAAAGCTGCAAAACTCTGATGGATTCATAGGAGAATTCAATGAAACTTTAAAGAATGATTAGTACTAACACAACACACATTTTTTCTCAAAAATTGTGAAGTAAGCTGCAGTACAGAAAAGTTTGGATGAAGAGCAGTACAGTCATACAGAGACAACAGTTAACAAAACTTTTTTTCCTGCTTGCAAGGGGAGGAGGTGAATAGATGCCAAGAGGGAGTAGCCTCAGTGTGATCCCCATTGCTTTCAGCTGAGGCCAGCACACATTGGGTGATTTCCAAATCATGCCAAGAGTTCCTCAGGGCTCAGACTCATATAGTTTTAGACAAAGAATTCACTGGCACCAATAGGAAACTGTCCAGTCATCCATAGTAGAGGATAATATTATAGTAAGAACCAGGGAAATTAGGATATTTTGTAAAATATCTAGCAAGGAATGGAGAATAAGGACAGGGTTATAGGGAACTTACCACTAGCTGTGCCATTCATCAAGAAGTGGAGGAGGGGAGTGGGATGAAATGCCCATTCTCAGGATTCATTAGCTTTAACATGCATGCATCCTGGGAGTCTGGGGCCATGTCAGTCAAATTGGCTTTCACCAATTCACAAAAAGATTCCTTTTTTTTGAGACAAATATAGTCCTAATACTTAAACCATGGAAGGATATCATTAATGAATATTGATTCAAAAATTTTAAAAATTGTGAGATTACAAATAATTTATCTAACAAATCACTCATCATGACTAACTTGGATTTATACCAGGAATGCAGGGATGGGCTGATGTTAGGAAAACAATAGACAAAATTAATTACATTAAAAGCAGAAACATCAAAACCACATTATTATCTCAATAGATAGAGGAAATGCCTTTGAGAAAGTATAAAATGCACTGATGTTAAAACCCTATAAAATATAGAATTTTTTAAAAAGTGTAGGAATAGAGGGGATTTTTAAATATCATTTAAAAAATCAGGGCAGTTAGATGGTGCAGTGGATACAGCATCAACCCTGGAGTCAGGAGGCCCTGAGTTCAAATCTGGCCTCAGACACTTGACACTTACTAGCTGTGTGACCTTGGGCAAGTAATTTAACCCCTATTGCCTTACTAAAAAGCAAAAAAAAAAAAAAGATGCTAAAAAACCTACCTACCAAAATCAAACATCACATGCAATGGAGATACACGAGAAGCTTTCCCAATAGGGAAGTAAAGCAAGGCTATGCTGTTACTGTTGTTTATAGTTCTGGAGGAAAATTAGCAATAGCCACAAGAAAAGAAAAGAAAAAAAGTGTAAAGACAGGTAAAGAGCAAATAAAACTATCTCCTATTTATTGATGACATGATAATTTACTTAGAAAATCCTGGATGATTGGCAAAAAAAATTGAGATAATTAATAGCTTCACTAAAGTTGAAGGGGTTGAGGGAAGATAGGCACACTAGTACATTGTTGGTAGAGCTGTGAATCAGCACAACCATTTTGGAAATTATAATGCAAAAAGTCAAAAACTATCATACCCTTTAACCTAGAGATTTACTACTAGGTTCATACCCCAAGGTCACAGATGAGAAGAAAATTTCCATATATAATAAACTATAGTAGCACTTTTGTAATACAAAAGAATTGAAAACAAAGCTGTCTATCAATTGGGGAAAGGCTAAACAAATTGGTATACATGACCATAATGGAATTTTACCGTGCTATAAGAAATAAAAAATGTGATAAGTACAGAAAAGTATGAAAAGATTTACACAAGAATGAAGTAAGCAGAGTGAAACAGCAGTATAAATGGAAAGACAAGAATATGGTCCATGCCCTCAAGGAGCTCACGTTCAAATGAGGAGGCAGCATGCAAAAAAAATTGTATATACAAGATACATACAGTGTAAACAGAAGCTAATCTCAGAGAACTGTGGGTGGTGATGGTGGAAAGGCCAGGAAAGGCTTTTGATGAAGGTAAGATTTGAGTTGAGTGTTTGAGGAAGCCTGGGAAGCTAGGAAGTAGGGGCAAGAAATGACAGCATTCTAGAATGAGGGACAGTGAAAAGGCATAAAGTTGAGAGGTGGAGTATCTTGTCCAAAGAACAGCAAGAAGGCCAGCATTGCTAGAACATAGAGTATGTGGAAGAGAAAAAAGATTAAGAAGAATGGAAAGGTAGGTTCTGAAGGGCTTTGAAAGGGAAACAGTATTTTATATTTTACCTTGGAGGTAATACAGAGGCACTGAATTTATTGAGTGGAGAAAGGCAAGTGATACTGGCTAGGCTTGTCCTTTAAGCAAACCATTTTGGCAACTGAGTAGAATACAGATTGGGCTGCATACAGACGTAAGCCAGTAACACCAACCAGCAGCTTATTGTAATAGTTCAGGTATGAGGCGATGAGGACCGGCACCAAGATAGGAGCTGAGTAAGTCAGGGGGAAAGGGATATACATATATATGAAGTGTTGTAAAGAAACGACAACTCTATGCAAGAGATTGGATATGTGGGATGAGTACAGATGAGGAGTCAAGGATAACATCAAAGTTGCTATTCTGGGTGCCTGTGAAGATGATTGTGCCCTTAACAGTAATAAGGAAGTCCAGAAGAAAGGAAAATTTGCAGGGTGGGGGTCAGGGAATGAGCTAATGAGCTCTATTTTGGACATGTAGAGCTTGAGATATTTTTGAACATATAGTTTAAGTGATGTGAAACTGGAAGTCAGGAGAGAGGTTAAAGCTGGATAAATAGATCTGAAAACTATCTGCTTAGCAATAGTAATTGAGCTCATGGGAGCTGTTAAGATCACAAAATGTGATAATATAGAGGGAGAAAGGAAGAGTCCCGGGGACATACCTTTGGAGAATACCGTCGCTTAGTGAGTGGAAGAAGATGTAGCAAAGGATGATGAGAAGGAATGGTCAGACAAGTAGGAGAACTGAAAGAGAACAATTTCATGAAAACCTGTGGAAGAAAAACTATCCAGGAGAAGAGGGTGACCAGTAGTGCCACTGATTGTAGAAAAGTCAAAAAGAATAAGGATTGAGAAAAGATCAATAGATTTGGCATTAAAAGATCATTGGTAACTTTAGAGAGAGAATTTTGAGTTGAATGATGATATTGGAATCCAGAATGTAGAAGTTTTAGAAGAAAATAGGTGCACTTTTCTAAAGGAGTTTAATCATAAATGGAACGAGACATTTATAACAATCAGTGGATTGAGTGAAGGGTCTTTTTTTGTTTTTGTTTTATTTTGGTTTTTTAGGTGAGGGAGACACAGGGCAGCAAGGAAACAGCTAGAGAAAGAAAGAGCTTGAAGATTTGAGAATGGGCATGATAGAAGGGCCAATCTGCTAGAGGAGACAGGATGGAATGAGATCAAGGCTGCAGGGAGAGGGGCTTGCTTTAGAAAAGCAAAGGGTCACCTCTTCATATGTAACAATCGTGAAAGCAGAGATAGTGAGGAAAGATGTCTGAACAATGTGAGACAAGAAGGAGAGGGAAAGGGAAAGGTCTTGAAAAATACCTAATTTTTGTAATGAAATATAAGTCAAGATCATCAGTTGAGAAGATGGGAAAAGAGGAAGGAGAGCCTTGAGGAGGAATGAAAAGATTTGGAAGAGATGTTATGGTGAAAGGGATAGTGAATTGATTAGAGAGGTAATGAGGTCCATTTGAGATAATGCCACATAAATTTATAGCGGACAAAATTAGCATGGTTTCATGATTTTCTCTAACTCTGTTCAGCCAGATGTAAATAACAGCAGAGTTAAGAATAATCCAAGATTGGTTTTTGGCAAGGCATGATTAGTGATAGGATAGATGGTCGAGGAACCAGAGCAGGGGTGGAGAACCTGTGGCTTTGAGGCCACGTGTGGCTTTCTAGGTCATTGGGTGTGGCCTTTTGACTGAATCCATGTTTTACTGAGCAAATCCTTTTATTATGGGGATTTATTCTGTGAAGTTTGGATTCAGTCAAAGGGCTGCACCTAAGGACCTAGAGGGCCACTTGTGGCCATGAGGCCACAAGTTCTCCATCCCTGAACGAGAGTATAGAAGATAATACAGAATTATACTATTTCACCAAGGGGCCAAGATAGAGAATGGAAAAGAATGTGGTCAGTACAAGGGTCATAGCTTGTGGAGAAGCAAAGGATGGAAGGATTAAACATTATGATGAAGACAAAGAACAAAATTAAGGGTTGTAAGATTGCAAGAAAGAATGAATGATAAGGGGCATCTAGGTGGTACAGTGGATACAGCTCCAGCCTTGGAGTCAAGAGGACCTGAGTTCAAATCCAGCCTCAGACACCTGACACTTACTAGCTATGTGACCCTGGACAAGTCACCTAACCCCAATTGCCTTACCAAAAAGAAAAAAAATGAATGCTAGAAGATCATGATCAGATAAAGGAATTTCCACTTTTATAAACATGGAGGTAGACTACTGGTGGGTAATGGTAAGATTGAGTATATCTCTGTTTACAGCTGAGATGAAATAGAGTAATAAGTCAGGGAACATTTTGGGAAGATAGGGTGTTTGAGGGAGTATCAACCTAAGTGTTGAAGTCTCCTACACTGATGGCAGGAGTTGGGATAGAGAAAGAGATTTTGATTCAGGAACTGAGCTTACGGATGAATGAAGAAGGATGACCTGAGAATTGGTGGCTAACAGTTCTAAGATTCAACATAATGAGTGATAAATTTGGATTGAATAAACCTAAAAGGAGAGGCTACTGAGTACGAGTGGGTGAGGGAGAGCCTGTACATGAATACCAGGAGCAGAGTATTCTGTCTCCAACACCATGACCACTGAGGTGGAAAGAGGCACTAGTGGAAGTGCAACTGGTACTAGAAAGGGTCATCTGGAATGTAGTTTCAATAGGAGGGAGCTAACTCTCAGTGAGATAGAAGATGGAGAGAGTTAGAAAGGAAAAACAATTTTAAGACAAAAGGACATTTGTTAATTATGACAAGCATTCCAGAGACCACAGTGGAAAGCACTGATGGGTTTGGAGTGTATATTGGTGGGGTAGGGTTGAGGAAAATTGGGAGCAAGGGAGCAGAGCATGCAGTTTGTACAATGACAGCTAGGAATTCATTTCCTGGGATGGGGAAAGTATGCTAGCCACCCTCCTGCAGAGAGCCTTTCCCAGTTCTCTCAGCTGCTAATTACTTCTCTGGAATCACCTCCCTTCTACTCTTGTATGCACTGGTTACTTATATAGTGTGTCCTCATGTGAATGTGAGCTTCTTGAGGACAAGAATTGTTTTTACCTTTCTTCTTATCCCTAGCACATACCCTGTGCTTGTCACATAATAATGTTGATTATTTGATCAACTAATAAGTTGAGTGCTGTGTATGTTTCTATATCTTTTTGTGAGCTCATACAAGTTCTTCCAGGGTTCACTATAGGTGATGAGGTCAATGCAAATTATGGAGGTAAGGATGGAAGTAAATTTGCATTGTCAGGATCCCCCTGCCAAGACCACCCTTGTCTTTTAACTCCTCTCTTTTTACTATTAGGAGATACCCTGTTTTCCAGAGCTAAGGCCCAGCAAGTAAGTCGTGCCCTGAGCTTGGCACAACCACAATCCTTTGTGCTCACCTTCTGGATGAACTCAGCCACAACAAAACCCCAGAACTGTTTCACACCAGCACCAGGTGGTTTCTAAGCTTGGACAAGCACCTGTAGTATCTGTGTTCTGGTCATGAAGTCCTGTTGTGAGTCAAACTTATCTCTGTTCCTGTTACGCCTCATTGTCAGGTCTACATCTCACTGTATTGGTATAAGTACTGAGATTTGCCTGCCCTAAAGCCAGTCTCCTCATAGAGAGGGCCTCAGCACTGCCTACTTTCCCTCCTCCACCAAAATAAAGCCTTTTGCTTATAAACACTGTTAGCTCTTTGGTTTTGTTTTGTTTTATTTTGTTTTTAGAGTTAACTGTGGTTTTGATAACCTCTATGAGCTGTCTGGGTTTTTTTAGAACTAACAGCAGTTGCAGAGCTGCTGATACTTCTTTGGTCATTTGTTATCAGGCATGACAGCATCTTTTGCATTTTCTTTAGGGTGAAATAAAAGTGATCATTTACTTGATAAACATTTGTTACATTGAATGTTTGTACAGGAGCTGGAAATCATGTTACCCGTATTTATATAAAACTAGAAACAAATATATTTAGAGATTTCCCAGAATAAACTTTATATGGGAACATATAAACCAAAAGAGAAAACTTCCTTTTTAGGCAAGCCCTTAAGATTAGGTCTGGTTTGCATGAGCCCAAAACAAGCTAGGCTCAAAATAAGGATGATGTCACCCCAAAAAAGATGTAGAAAAGATTTGGCATAGAAATCAAGTTGATGCTGGACTATTCAAAGATGATGAGGTCAATGTAAGCTATGGAGGATAGGGTGATGATGAAAGTAAATGAGGAAGGGGGTACTTTCCCACTTGCCTCGGGCAAGCACAAAGATTGTTAATTATGGCTCTTCTAATGAGGTAAATACTATGTATATCCCCATTTAACGAATAAGAAAATTAAGGCTCAGATAGTTGACAAGTATCCCAAGAAGGTTTAGAACCCAGGTCTTCAGGACCCTAAGTCTGGCACATAATGCAGTACACCAGGGATCTCACTGGACTGCCAGAGTCTTTCCACAGTAGTTAGTTGTCTTCTTGGACTTTTTATATATCACAGATAATTTTGACAATCTAGTGAAGCCTATGGACCCCTTCTTGGAATAATGTTTTTAAATTATAGCGCAGGGGAGCCCAGATGAAAAGTATTATCCCACACAGAGATAGCTTCAACAAACTTTATTGCTATTCACAAAGAAAGGTAGAAAATAGCAGAAAATATCCCAGTGTACAGCCTTCATGCCCACTGTGTGCAGCATACAGGTGGTGATTTCCATGATCTGGCTGAGCCCAGAGACCCTCAGCGCTCCACCTTATATAACATTTGAAACAAAGAGCCAGTATGATACCAGTGGGAAACAGCTGTTTCCACCATTGGGTACTTAAGGTCAACATATTGACTTAGTTTTAAATTCAATATTATCTATGTTTTGTTGTATTTTTCTTTATTTTGTTAAATATTTCCGAATTACATTTTAATCTGCTTTGGGCTACACTCAGGAGTCCTGTAGGCTGATTGGAGATGCCAGGCTGCATTTACACCTTTGACCTATCAGACCAATAAAAAGAAGAAATTCTCTAAATTATCTGATAAGGATGGAAGAACGAAGAACAGAGAAGCCCAAAAATTAACCCTAAGAGTCCCATTCTAGCATGAAGCTGAAATGGAAGGCTGGAGCCATACCAGTAAAACCAGTTTTCACTGGAAGATACAAATGCATAAAATAAAATACATAGGATTGGGGCAGATAGGTGGCGCAGTGGGTGAAGCACCAGCCCTGGATTCAGGAGGACCTGAGTTCAAATCCGGCCTAGACATATAACACTGTGTTATATGTGTGACTCCGAGCAAGTCACTTAATCCCAGTTGCCTCACCAAAAAGAAAAAAAAAATACGTAGGATTACAAAGGAAACTGAATATGCTGAAATTCAGTAACTAAAAAAAAAAAAACAAGTTCCTAGTTGCCCGTTAAAAACTGCTGCACTATGCAATGGTGTTCTTCCTAGTTTTCTGAAGGAACCATTCATTAGCTATACTTCTCAGTTTGATAGCTGCAGTAGGCCTTTGATAAATGCTTCAAGACTAACTGATGTCACATACACAGAAAGCCCAGGTGAGAGTTATCATTAATTATTATTATTAATTATGATATTGACATGATAGGATTATAATATATTATTGATTCATCTTATGTATTATTTTTAAAATAGTTTTATTTTTTTACATTGTCATAATTTCCTCCGTATCCCTTCTCTACCCTGTCCCAGAGACCTGTCCTTCTCTAACAAGTAGTATTTTAAAAGAAAAAAAGAAAATCATCCTAATTGATCAACAGAGTAACTCACAACGCTTGTGGACCTCCCACGTTTTAGAAGGAGTGAAGGGAGATACCTTCTCATATCTCTGCTTCGGAGCTACGTTTGGTCCTTTGCAATTTTGCAATATTTATTTTTGACTTTTTGTGTGTATGATTGATTCCATTTAGATTATTGTAGTCATTGTTTACACTCTGCATCAGATTGTACAAATCTTTCCATGTTTCTTCTCTTCATTGCATGTTATTTCTTACACTACAGTAACATTCCATCTTATCCCTATAACACAATCTATTTAGCCATTCCCCAATCAATGGATATCTACAGGCATACCTCATTTTATTGTGCTTTGCTTTATCGTGCTTCACAGATATTGCATTTTTTGCAAATTGAAGGTTTGTGGCAACCCTGCTTTGAGCAAGTCTATCGGCATCGTTTTTCCAACAGCACGGTCACATCACGTCTCAGTGTCATATTTTGGTAGTTGCAATATTTCAAACTTTTTCATTACTATTATTTCTGTTATGATAATCTGTGATCTTTAATGTTACTATTGTAATTGTTTTGGGTCACCACAAACTGCACCCATATAAGATGGCAAACTTAATCGATAAATATCGTGTCTGTTCTGACTACACCAACCAGTTGCTCCTATCTTTCTGTATATCCTTGGTCCTCCCCAGTCCTTAGGCACAATAATATTAAAATTAGGCCAACTGATAACCATACAATGACCTTTAAGTATTCAAGTGAAAGGAAGAGTCAATGGATGGGGCAAACTTCATTGTTATCTTATTTTAAGAAATCACCACAGCCACCTCAGCCTTCAGCAATTACCACCCTGATCAGTCAGCAGCCATCAACATCAAGGCAAGACCCTCCACCAGCAAAAAGACTTTGACTCTCTGAAGACTCAGATGATGGTCAGCATTTTTTAGCAATAAGGTATTTTTAATTAAGGCATGCACATTGTTTGTTTAGACATAATACTATTGCACACTTAATAGAGTACAGTACAGTGTAAACACTGGGAATGCACTGGGAAACAAAAATAACTTTTGAGACCCACTTTATTGTGATATTTGCTTTATTGCAGTGGTCTAAAACCAAATCCACAATATCTCCAAGGTATGTTTTTTTCCAATTCTTCTTTGCTACCACAAAAAAGTGTTACTAAAATATTTAGATACATATGGAGACTTTCTTCTTCTCAATGGCCTCTTTGGGGTATAAATAGCACTGCACTGGTAAATATTTAACAACCAGATATGGGAAAGGGGGGCAAGAAATGCATGTAGGAGACACTTTTAAGTTTAATCTACATTATGAATATTTTCTCCATAATTTTCTTCAATCAACAAAGCAATAAATAGATCAAGTCCTGCTTTGTAGCATCTCCTGCTTTTTGAGATGTAAATGCTCACACTGAAAATTTAACAATTAGATCTTGTGAGCCAGTATAGGCTGGCTCCAACACATCCCTGGGCTATATAAGCCTAATAGTAGAATTTCTGGATCAGGGAATATATGAGGGTTTTGGTAACCTTAGTGACATAATTCCGGATTATTTGCATAATTTCCAAAATGGATGTACTTATTCACAGATCCACCAACAATACCATAGTTTGTCTTCTCACAGCACCCTTTCTTTTGTCATCATTGATGATTGCAGGGTACAAAATTAAATTTTGTAGTTGTTTAATGTACATTTCTCTTATTATTGATTTATAGTACTTTCTCATATGGTTGTTAATAGTTAGGAATTCTTCTTTTGAAAATTGTTTGCTGATATCTTTTGACCACTTACAAGTTGGGGAATGTTAAGTACACAGAAAACCAAGGTAGGTCTTATTATTTATTATTATATATGAATTAGTGGATTGATCATATATCAGTTGTTATAATCATATTGTGGTGTTATTAGATTAACAGGATAATGATATATTATTAATTTAGTATATGTATCATCATATAGTTATATATTATGAGAGACAGATACAATGGATAAAGAGCTAGTCTCTGAGCCAAGAAAAGCTAGGGTTCAAGATTAGATTCTGATACATACTGAGTGTGTCACCTTGAGCTAATCACTTAATCTCTCAGTGCCTCTAGACAACTCTCATTCTCCAAATTACAGAGAAGGTGACAACCAGCACTGAGAAGGGAACTTCCTCACAGAGAATTCCCTCACCAATAAAATTACAGATCCAGTTCCTAGCCTTCATGTTATATCACTATAAAGGATGATAATAACTCACTTATGTAACATATTAGGTTTGTAGATTGATTTGTCCACACAAGCTGCTCTGCCCTTCTGCTGTTTTATTTATTTGCCCAGAACCTTTTAAGATATAAGAAGGCCTAACAAAAAGGTGAATGTCCTTCTCCTAGGAGCTTAAGCTTAAGCTAGCAAGCAGATTTTAATTGGTTTCAGACTTATAGCCCAAATGAACTGAAATTGATTCAGCTTCACTGAACTATGTATCGTTTATTTTGTAACTGAAATAAGAGTATCAGGCAACTAGAAATCAATGAATTGATTTAAATATTATGCAACAAAATGGAGCTATTACTATGGGCACATTTTTATGATTTAAAATCACGTCAGCATTTTTTTCATGTCAGAGGCTATGACAGGGCAACATTGATTAACACATTCAGACCCAATCATAAAGAAAAAGACTTGGAACGCAGATTTTTCTAGTCAAAAATGCAAAATAAAGAGTCTGCCTTCTAGGTCTATATTAAGTTCAAAGTTATTAAGCAGTGACAGTTGAATTTACAAGATTTTGTCAGTGATTTTGGGAAAGGAAGCAAAAATTAAATTTAAGAACAATTAAAACAAACACTTTAGAACAAACTAACCAATTTTTTATTGTTGGGGTTTTTTTAAGTAAATCTCAATCTAA